CAAAACAGTGACTTAGCATTTTGAGTACACCAGTTGAGGATATACAATCTGAAAGGGGGATATTTTTTGTCCTGCCTTGAAGCTCTTTAGGGCTTAGCTCCCACAAATACCAGCAAAATCTCTTTCTCTGTTGTTGCTGCAGAAGATTGACCTGAATTGTGAATCACTAGAGTTAATCCCCCCAATGTTTATATGAAGAGCTGGATTTTCTGAGCCAACCTCATATAGCCTGTCCTGGAAGCTAACAGTGTGGCTTAAGCCGCATTCTACGTCAGGTGCATTCTGCCTGCACACTTCTTTATTTTGAATCAGTTCAAAAATCATAATAAACAGTTATAGGGAACATGAAAATTCAAGTGTTACACTGGCAGTAAAACAGATGCATAGACAAACTTTGAAACACAAGACTCCTACGTAAAATATGAAGAAAAGCATGAACAAACAAAATTAGAAGGTACTAAATACAACATACTGCACAGCAACTTAAACAGTAACTGTACAGTGCAATGAGACAAAGTCAAATAGGGAGAAGAGACAATGAAGCTGCAGTTTAAAAATTAATAGCAAAAATAACACTTGTGGAAACTGGATGAAATATTTTGTGTTTGCAGGTAGCAGCTCAGCAGCTTAAATTACAGATGTTGCACTTGAAGAAGCAAAAGCAAAGTGTTTGAAGTGTGATCCGTTTGCTAAGTATGAGGTAATAGGTATTGCTCCAAACTCCCCCAGACCAAAATGGTGGCGCCTGTCACCCTCTACACAATAACACCTTTGTTTAGTGAGGCATCACTGAGAATAACAAAAGAAAAGGAATAAATTCATTCGACTGGAATAGTGTAGTCCGTGTAGCCATTCTGCCTGGTAGCAAAATAACCAAACTTGGTTGCACATTGTAGTAAATTTATTCTCATATATATTTGTTTGTTATATGTCTATCGTGTTTTTAAAAGTTCCCACCCTTTATCATTACTTTTCATCAGTGTATAATGTTTACATTAACTTTGTGCTAACTAGCTAGCTGCATTAAGAGGCAGCAAAACAGCACACTTTTAGAAATTTTATTTTATTAATTTAGTACAATTTATTTAAAAATTAAGTGTTAATTTAAGGATACAGTAACTTACCTAATCAACTGTCATTATAGTTGCTTTTTCTCCTTCCCATTGCAAGGAAGGCGGTAAAATGACAGCTAACCTGTGATTTTTGATTCAGTTGAAACAATGGGGCACATTGAACTGAGGAGAATGAACTGAAGTTTGGACCCAGAAACAGAATGTTACATCACTACTTAACAAGCGGACTGAGACAATAAAAAGGGACTTTCAGATAGGACGCGGTATGCGCTGTGCTTGCAGCGGGGGTTGGGCACAGCACAGGGGAGGAGGGTGCACACGCGCAAATCATGCACATGTTGGGCGCCAGTTGCTAGGCGATCAAAAAGCTTTTTAGGAGGTGCTTAGCAGATATTAACTAGTTTTTCAAGCAGTGGACTTGAATGCACGATGTATCTATTTACATGTCAGCAAAAAACTCTGGCTTTAGTTGTACTGATGAGGAGGAGACGAGCTGCAGCAAAGAAGAATAGGGTGTAAGTCCAACAAAATCAGTTTTTCCTCCATTTTCTTTGTGGTCTGTCAGGTTCTGTGCCATTGGACACGTTGAGGTGTTGTCACAGAGCGCCGAGCCCACTGCATCTTATCTGAAAACAGCTTAAGACAGTCATGCAAAAGGTTACAGCTGACAGAGTGACTGACCTAATAGTCCAGCAGATGTTTTAGTCAGTTGAGAACAGTTCTGAGGTTTCTGACATAAGCAAGGTCATAAAGCTTGTAGCAGTGCTGGTTCACAGATGGCAGGTGGACCACTCTGTCACTGAGGGAGCTCTGTATCTCTAAACTTTGTCCTAAGATGCTATCCTAAGATGTTCTGGTCAGACAAACTCTGGTGTTTTTGCCTGGTTATGGTTCATTTGGGAATGTGCAACAGCTCTCATCCGAACTCTGATGGGGACTAAACAGCTGGCTGAAGAAACCATGACACTGTGTATGCGCATTAGGATGTGAGAGTGGAGATTTCACACACATGGTCTAAAACCGTTCAATCTGTGATGTGTTGAGCTTGTACTCCATGTACTTTGGCAGAAATACTTCTGTACAACACACGTCTTTTTTATCCTGTCTCCAAGGTTTTGTCATTATTCATAACATGCTGCCAGTTTGCAGTCTAATTATACTATTTATGCACATAATCAGTTCCGTTGTCAGCTCTTTGTACCTCCAAAGAACATACATACAATATATACTTAAGAAGAGCTGCGTAAAATGCTGTCATTAGATTTCCACCTGTGGGTCCTTCAGTCATTGTCAGTATGAACATAGAAACAGTGTGAACATGAACTGGAACGGGCAACAATGGATCATTTTCCCCTGGTTTTAGACTAAATGACCCAAGCCACAGGTGTGAAAGTGCTCAGAAACATCAGTTTTCTGTACTGTAACTGAAGTCCCATGTGTGGAAGTAGAGAGGAATTGGAGCAAGGATGGTCCCCTGTGCTAGAACACTGTGTCTAACACACAGCGCTGTAGTCTCACACACTCTGGGCTGTTAGCGAGATAGTCAGTAGATGCTCATTCACTGCAGTCTAAGGCATAGAGACTAAAGAAACCTGATTTACTTTAAGACTTTCTAATCTTAAGATGATCTATTGAAGCTCTCCTAAATGAAAATACATAAAAATGCAAATCTGCATCTTTTTATCCTCTCATATTAATTCCCCAAAAAACATGCTACTGCAATGCTGTAATTACTTGCATATCCTTGTCATTGTTTATCAGATGCTGTGAAAACCAGAGTAAGCGAGAGCTCTGAGCTGCTGACTCGCTATCAGCCGCTATCTTTCTTTGCCGCTCTGCCAGCCATTACCCTATAATTTATGCTTTTCCACACTCAAGGCCTTATGCTCAAAGCAATAGCATTGCTGTATGGGAGAAAGTTTTTGCTTTCAGTCTGTACACTGACTGATAAACAGAAATGCTGTCAAACTGAGTGCTCCTTCACGCCCACTGCAGGTGTTCCAACAAAACACTTAAAAAAGGGGAATAAAAAAGCTCCCATTGGAGGTGTGAATTAAACTTCATGAAACGTGATATATTTTTAAAGGACAGAAAAAAAGCGAGCCGGCCAGACAGACCTAAATGTCTAATGATAGTTTAAACAGACATTTCTGACCACTGAACAAAAAAACTGAAGCCAAAAAATGAATATGATGGTGATATATGATAATGAAGCAGAAACAGGAGTTGCTTCTTAGATGAATTTAAGCTTTCAAGAACAGCAGAAAGTCTGCAGTACTGGCAGATCAGCACTATGGATTTCTGAAGCAGGATCCAGATGACTCCTGCAGGCCTGCAGACCATCAAACTGGCTCAGTGTGTAAGGAGTTAATAGAACAAGTAATAACACCATATAAAAGCATTCGGTTCTAGTGAAGCCCTTATTTATTCCATGCCTGCTGCTGAATAGGCAGCACAGTGCATCAATACTGTAGCAGATTGAACACGAGATCAGGCATGGAACTTCACACATGACCGCTTCCTTATATAACACATCTGAAGTCTATTTTATTCAACCTTGACTGCAAATAATCCCTCCAAATTAATTTTCATCATAGTCTTTTTCATTTTCAAGCTTGATTGACTGTTATAGACACTGAAAATATAAAAGGAGGGTCAAGGGCTTTGTGTTTGAAAGTGCTTTCTTTTTATCTAAATTCCTGGAAGGCAACATTCACCCTACTAAGCATAACTTTCTAGCATGATACCCACAGTATCTCTTGATGTGGCCCCAGGCTGTGCTACTTCTTTTCATCACAGAGCTGTTTTTAACACACTGCAGAATGAGACTCCAAATTAGTGTCCTAAATCCAGACTCTCAAAGCAAACATATCTGTGCCAGAGCATTTACAACGTGATGGTGTTTGAGATTATGAGCATAATAATTCACCCCTGTTTATTTGGTAATCTGTCTGTGTGAGGATAGGGGCAACTCTCTTCACAGAGTTTCCTTCAGGCAGCATGTAAATTCAGACGATGCAGACAGTTTAGCATCAGAGTGGGCTAAGAGGCTCTAGACGCACTCTTACAGATGCCGGTAAACAGTAGTTAAGTGCTGAATGTTTTCCTGCAGGAACAGATGTGACAAGTGATACACAGCTGAAGATGTTTTTGGTCCTTCCTTTAGGAAATAACCCGTGTTAGATTCAGATGATTGATTTGTGCCGGGGTCAAAAGGCCCCGTGGTCTCTGTAGCTACATCAATAGTTCCACCAGGACAAAAATCATTTGTAATGTTTTCTGTGCTAATCCATAGGTTGTCATTCTACTATTTGCCTTCTAATCTGTACACTTAATCTTTGGATCATAAAACAAAGTCTTGTGTGTTATGTCCTGCTTTGGGCCTCTCTGCTCAGGATTATTTTTTCTTATATAGCCTTTTTTTTAAAGACTGCTGTTGTTCATTCAGAATAAAACATCATTATAATGTAAGTTAACCTAAAATGTATAATTTTCTTGAGTTTATGTTGAAGCATCCTCAAAGGAGACCTCCCAGCATGCACCAGTAAACAAAATGATGGACATAAGTCTCATTTTACGTGTTACTGCCTTGTTCCTGGTGTTGTCTCCCCTGCTTCCATGATGATATTATTTGTATATAGTAAGTTATTACATGGGTAACCCATTGAATTTTGAACATTAAATTCTGCTTACAAATCACAAGTAGCACTACCCAGCCTATGAAAACAACTGTAAATCTCCTGTGGCTTCAAATTGCTCTTGATTAACAAGGCAAACCATAGCAATGCGAAAATACAGCCCTTCACTCTTGTAATGGGAATGATGTATTACAGTTAAAGATCCTCTCCAGACATGTTTTAAGACACATAAATATACTTGGGCTTTATTCATAAAAAGTGAATTACCCTGTTAAAAATTCTTTAATTCTCCTCCTTCTCCCTCATTGAAAATCCAGAATTAATGATCATGAAATTATCATTCATTGCAAATGTTTAAGTGCTGAAGTTTCCACATCACAACACTGTTACATACTGGACACTGATTGGCTTCCGTACCAGTTTTGACATCATTAAATCTGCTTGGAAGTATGTAAGTTAACTTAAACTCAAATTTAAGGTGAGCACAGAGAAATGTTTCCCTCAGCAGATGTATGTGAAACAAGTGAAGTCATAATAATCATAGTAATTATGACAATGCATTTCTGAGGGGCGAAAACCTTTTTGTGCTGTTGCAGCTTTTACCAGTAAAAGATCTCAGTACTTTTCCACCTGCCTTTATATCATATATTTGGACTCTTCTGTCGCAGCTGAACATTTATCACATTAGCAGAAGAAAAGGAGAACTTTGTTTTGAGAACAAATAAACATATGTCATCAAAATGGGTGGAGGTGCAGTGGTTAAGCACTTTTGCTCCACAGCAAGAAGGTTCTAGGTTCGAGCCCTGGCCCAACCCATGCCTGAGTGGGTTCTCTCTGGGTACTCTGGATTCCTCCCACAGTCCATAGACATGCAGCTTAGGTTGATTGGCGACTCTAAATTGCCCGTAGGAGTGACAGACAATTCAGACATGTCCGCAACTGCGCATATGCATCAACACATACCTATGTAGTGAAGGGATTTATGGGTAAGCGTTGATGATGGGTGCAGACAGTCTGATGCGCACACCTCCCAAATCTCAACTACACTTTGTGTGAAGCTGCATGTCTTGCACACTGATTGCTTGATCTGACTGTGCGCTGACCGAGACAGGATAAGCAGGACAGATAATGGATGGATGGATGTCATCAAAACAAACAGAACCCGACTGTTGTCAACAGGATGCTTCAGACCACAAAAACATAACTTTTATAAAATCAGATTGCTAATCTTTTGCTGAGAGAAAGAAAAAATGAATCGAATACACCAGAAGCAATAACAGTTTCATATGAAAAGAGCTCAAAGACTCAAAACAGATTAATTTTACTCTGTGGTCAGATGAGTGCAATAATTGCTGCATCAATGCTGCACTGATCTCCTGTGGAACATGTTCTGCGCCACAGAGAGAGAACAACAGTCAGACTCAGCCACAGAGCAGATTTAGAGTCAATACCTTGCTCACTGGCACTAAAGCAGGACAGGAAGTGGAGGTGAATCCCATTAAGTCTCACATGGTCTTTTTAACTGTCAGGCCATTTGGCTGGGGGAGCCCATAAAAAAGGAACTTCTGAGTGGCTCAGGTCAGACCACAGGCTGGGGAGCAGTGTGGCCAAAACAGACCTTCACTTTCCACACAATGAAACGGTCCTAATCAAACTGCTGCAGACCCCTGTGTGTTGGGGCCCTTGTTCGGAGAGTCTAATGGTGTGCTCGTGTGTCTTTCTTGAAATCCTCCCAGGTCCCTGCTGTGATGCGTACCGCAGAAGTAGGCTGGGGGCGCACACACGCTGCAGCGCCACGCACCACGCTCACACTCCCATCATTTCCAGTGGAGACTGGCACAGAGACGCAGCGCCACGACCACACCGATGTGACTGGTACGGACTGCTGAAACTTCTGCGCAGAGACACAAAGGGGCGGATAGATCCATCTAGCTCGTCCCAGATAGTGGATTAAATTCACGCTTCCTTTGCTTTCTTTCCTTTTCCCCCCCCATTTTCTCCTCCTCCTCCTCCCGTGGTTTCGTGTTACAAAGCCTTGGGAGGGAGTTGCGCGTAGATCCAGTTCCTCTGTGTAGAAACTGAATGACAGGATCATTTGGCTTGATTTGCCTTATAGTCCAAACATTTCAAAGAATAGAGGAAACAAGAGGAGAGAAGATAGGAACCGCTGGTGAATTCATCAGAAATTGATGAGGACATGGAATAATTTAGAACTCACATTCAAAAACAAATCCGAGATAACGGAGAAAGCAGAGAGAGGAGAGACGCGGATACTGGAGCTGTCGTCAAAGACAGAGAGGAAAGCACAGGGCGCGTTGCCTGTAATCATCACCACCGTCATCATAATAATAATAAGGTAAGTTTCTAGCCATTATTTATCATTGGTGGTTGCGGTGCGGTGAGGTGGCTGGATTAAAAGTAGACGAAGGAAGCAGACGTAGAAAAGACCCTGATTCGGAGTCTCTGGATCTCCAACTGTTGCCATGAAGCCCCCTTTCGTGGAAACAGGACGCCTTCAGATACACTGTGTTGTCTAAACAGAGCATTTAGGTGCTGGAAGCTGGGGCTCGCTGCGATGCAACTTTATCTCCATTTCGCGCAGTGTTAACACAGCGCACTGCGGTCAGAAGCAGTTGGAAGGGAATCAATTCCGGGGGTTCACTGCCGTCTGTGTCCCTCCACTATACTGCTCCAAAATCACGGTCCAGTAATGCAGTTGTGCTCATCTGTACAATACCAAACGGATGATACAGCGTTTGTGCGCTAACACGCCTGGATTATTTCTATGTAGAACAAGTAAAAATCCCTTCATTATTTTTCATGCTGTATCTGCCTGTGGTGCCTTATGATGACTTTTAGGCACCTTTCTCCGCCTGATGGTGTCTCTTCTATGGCATCTAAATATTATTTCAGCAGTGTTCCCAACTTACTTTGCGACTATTGTTGTCCGCTTGACAGAGAAGTTATGGCCAATTACAAAGTATTGTGCGCATGAACAGATGCATGATTTTAGAGCAGCATCCTCCTGCAGCATATGATTTTACTAGTTCGTTTACTTATTGCAGATATAGGTGTCATGTGTAATACTCCCGCTTCACTTCCCCTAATATAAAACAGTGGATCATTTGAATTGCTGCCTCTGTTTCCCTCTTGCTCGGCAGACAATCAAACCTTAAGCACTTCTGGTGACAATAATCCACTGACTTGTGATATTACTTGAGGGCTTTTTCTCTTTATTTGCTTCTTGAATTATTATTCATATTACTATTATTAGCCTTAAGACTTAAGTATTAGCTACAGATGACTGATTATTGTAATTACTGAGGAGGAGGAAGGGGCAGGCGTCCACACTGGACAGTGAGCAAGGGTTTGTTTAAAAAGGTGGTGGTTTAGGAGGAGGGGGGGGGGGGGGGGGGAAGGGTTTTTTTTAAACAAGCTGGATGGTGCCAGTGTGAGTTAACTAACAGACAGTGTGAGGGGAGTACAAAATGAAAGCAGTAAGGGTGGTGGGTGAAGTTAGTGGAGTCATGTTATTGCCATGTGGGATGGAGGCGGTAGGGCGGATGACATTATATGCATGTGCACGAGGATCCACTTTCTGCTGTGATATTTGTGTATTTCTCTCATAAAGTTTGTCAAAGGCTTTCATTTTCATAAGGTTGGTAGGCGGGTAGTTGGGAACGTGTGTAATTTGTGTATGTCACTGTGTCATTTGCAAAGATTAATGAAAGTAATATACCGGTACAATTCAGTGTTAGCACTGAGTCGTAAATTGACATTTGCAGTGCAGTGGGATGGAGCAGAGGATAATCCTATTGAAATTCAGTTTACTCACCTTTTCATTTGTCAAATCAAGTTTCCAGACCTTTAAGACTACACATATTCCCTGTTATAAATAGACAGAGAAGATTATACAAGACTGCGGCAGGTTGCACGAACACATGTTTGAAACCCAGTTTGGTTGTTTGAATGGTTCCTCCTGACATCTGCATTATTCCTAGTCTGGAAGAAAAAGCCCAGAAAATCCAGTTTAATCCATGGCAGATGCAACAAAGACACACACCCAGTGCAGTGCTCTGACCCCAGATGTTAATGCCTCCATTGAGAGAGCCTGCATACATGACCTCTTCATTGTCGGAGAGACAATAAACTCCACATCCTGACGGCCAGCCTCCTTCCCATCTTCGCTCACACAATCCTCATGGTCCTCGCACACATAATTAAATGTCACACAGTCAGACAAACAAAGAACCACTTGCATGAGTTCAGTCAGAGACTAGTGCAGGTTCACACACTTTAAATAGATTCACTAGACATTTTACTGTGCCATTTGAGGACAAGTCTGACAGATGTGGAATTTCTTCTATCTGTTAGTTATATCTTGTGTTTGAGGAGTTCATGTCACCTGTGGCCGGTGTACATGTGTTCCATAATGCTGCAAGTAACAATTATTTTATTGTTCTCCATTGGTAGATTAATTGTTTTGTCAATATATTGTCAGAAAATAGAGAAAATTGGCCAAGATTACATCTTAAATCTTATTTCGATCAACTCACACCTAAACTCGATATTTTGTTAAATTTATTATCCTATAATACAAAGAAAAGCTGCAGATCCCTTGGTTCTCAAACAAGGAATCACTTATCAAAATAGCAGCAGATAGATTTTCTGATGAAATAGGTAATGGACCACTCTCTTCAGCTCCTTTTGACTGCCTGTGTCAGTGTGTGTACTGGTGTACTGTAGGGTATGTGATAGAAACTGGGTGTTTTGACACCAAAGGGCCAACACTGCATCAGAGCCATTACATCATCAAACCAGATGTCTTCTGTGTGTGTGTGTGTGTGTGTGTGTGTGTGTTTAATTGTCGTCTCTCTGTCACATGCATCATGTCAATGCAACAGACCCTGTAGCCCACATGGCAAGCAGCTGAATGCACAGTAGACCCCTGTGATAACGAGATCATTTCTGATTGTGTAACTGAAACAGCTCACATACAGGAATGTGCACAAAGGCTACTCAACTGATTCATGCTGGCTGTGGTGTTGTGAGTGCATGGATCCAAATTTGCTGACAAATTTGCTGATGTTTTAGATGGTGGGAGAGGATTTCTTTTCAAATCTGCTGAGCTACAGTTGATGTGCCAACTTCCCACATGAGCCCCCCCCCCCTCCAGAAAACACAGAACAGTTTGTTTCACACTGTGTGCTGAATTCACATCTCAAATCTTGTTTTACTTCTTCACAGTCCGCGTGTTTGTTTCTGGAGGTGAGCAGCAGGAGGCAGGGCCGGACTGGACAGGCTAATGGTCAGTGGGGCTTGGCAGGGTGCAAGGATAGAGTGATATAGTCCATCACTTTGTATGAACCTGCAATATTATTGCTGTTGGTTCAACATTTACTTGTGTTTACTTGATAATGATCATCACTTTTACTGGCTAAGTATGTTACACACACGGAATTTGTCTTCGGTACAGAACTGAGGCAGCCACTGTAGCGCCAACTCACAGATACATATACACCGTTGGCGGCGCTGTCCCTACTGACCTGGCCAGCAGGTCACTTGGATATCTGGACATGTGGACTGGGGAGAATGGGAATTGAACCGCCGACCTTCCGGTTGGGGGATGACCACTCTACCTCCACAGCCGCCCCTACTTGTATGTGTTTAAGAGAAGCTGTTTGCACAGCTGCATCCTAAAAATGACACCGTGACACCGGAATGTGAAGTCTGGCTCACTAAATCAACTTCACACACACACATCCATGCAAACATGACTTCATTTCAGTTTTTTTAGGTGTTATAAAAGTTAGTTCCAAAAACCAATAATCGTATTCTTTTTGTAAATAGATGTCGCGTCTTTGCTCTTACTGAAGATGATAGATCTCAAGGCTGTAAGGTTGTTTCATTAACTTCCACAAGCTTCTGTTTTGAAAATGTTTTTGAGATTTTAGGCGTTATCTCAGAAGAAAATCACCCTGTAATTCTTTGTGCTGTAATTCAGTGAGAAAGAAAAATGCACTGCAAACAAAACACAAGCAAATAGAGACATGCTGCAAGTAGTACAGAGTGCAAAAAAAAGTGAGTTACACGTTATATGTTTTCATCTGGGGGACATTAAAAACTGACAAACACGCCAGGAAGTGAGATTAGCTAAAGTTGTCCTCCTGTCAGTGTTGTCACAAAGTAAGCTACCAGTGTTAGCTTTAGCCTTTAGCACTTATGCTATGACTTTGATATTACTGAAGATGCTGGCTATTACAGATTGCATTAACCTTTTGCTTTTTACTAGCATGTTATTCAGGTTCTAGTGCCAGTTAATGAAATGCCACAAAAGAGAATGATCTTCCAGTTATTTGTTTTCAGCATCCTTCTGGAACTGTCTCACTGGCTCCTGCAGTTATGTAATTGTCAATTTAACCACTTTTGTTTTCATTGTGCAGTGCATTGTGGGAAACAGTGTGCATAAACAGCACACTCAGAAACTACAGCACTGTTTAGTATGCATAATGAAGTCAATTGTCACTTTTCTAGCGATAACACAAAACATAAAAAAACTGTTCAGAATTAGCATGTGACAGCTTATGACTTAAGTGTTTCTGTGTTTCATTTTGTTTGCTGTTTTTGCAGAGAGTGTCTTTACGCTGGCTTTGTGTCACAAAATTTGTGATCGTGTTTCCCAATTTGCACATGCTATTTTTACATGCAACATTTCTTCTACAGTAAATGCAAAATATGTATTGTCAGTGTGTGAAGATGTTTCTACATGTGCTTGTGTTTCTCTGTTTACAGAGACCTAGGCTCTTCTGGCTCACTGGTTTACAGAAATGATTCTGATGTCTTCAAGTAGATGCAGCCATAATTTATTGACGTTAAAATGCTACAGATGGCACTGTTAATATAGAGTATAAACAGTGCACAAGCCAGAGTGTACATACACACACCACACTGCTCATGCTCCAGCCACTTCTCAGCGACTTTAAGGCCTGCTGAGAAGTTTCCGTCAGGCACTGAGGATGGATCCAGAGGGTTTTGGGAGCAGCTGTGATTGCAGTTGTTCTGACATGATAAGCTTTTGCTCTTCTGTGACTTAGTTTTCCCTCTGAGCTCTCTTGCTCTCATCCTCTGTCGCTCACTCACTTATATATCTTTTTCCTCTTCTTCTTGCTCATTGATTTCGGCTCACTTCGAGTAGGATGAGGTCATTTTTGCACTGCCAAAGTGTAAGTACTGGCCACTTATATACTGTAGCACAACATACTCTATGAGTGTATATTCAGCTTATTGTGAATGATAACTATGCTAGGATAGAGGAAAGCAGTATTATCTTTCTGATGGTTATAGTGCAAGTCCCCA